ATTTACCATTAGTCTCAACACCTAATGAGGGCATGAAGTAGATCAATCATGATGATGGTGCTACTGAGGTAGGTTTGGGTATTGAAGATGAGTTGGGAAATGATGATCACACATTCCAAGAGAGTGGGGGCGAGGTAGATGATGTTCATAATGAAGAAGTCACATTCCACAAGCAAGATTACCCCTCTTGTACACATGCACCAATCCACTCTTACGTGGTTTCAGATTTGGATTTCTTTGATTCACTCCTTGATGATAATATTCCTTTTTGTGTGGAAAGTGACAACATCATACGAGAAGATATTAATGAGAGTGGTGACGATAAGAGTTGGGATGCCTTTATGAAGAGTGATATTGAGTCAAAAATAGGTGCTCCGAATTTCCACGGTAAATTTGAGCAAGGAAATGATGTGTTTGTGATGCATTTGGAACCAAAGGATGTGAGGGGCGATATACCCTTGTTTGCTGATGATGTTCATGAAGACCACGTGATTCCTACGTGGTTCCAAGAGTTTAAGAATTTGTGTCACCTAATGGCATTTGTTAAGGGAAAGCTGGATAAGTTGATGATTAAGGCCTCGTTGCAGTCTTTGCTATTTGAGAGCATATGAGGTATCGTCGGGCAAACGACGTTAAAAATAGCGCTTCTTGGGAGGCAACCCAAGTTTAACTCTGCACTTTTGTCTTTGTTTGTTTGCTTTCAAGAAAACCCCGGAAAAAAAGAAAAAAAATCCGGGTTGTTTTCTGTTTTTGTTTTTGTGTTTGTGTGTTTTGTTTTTGCAACTCAGAGTCTTGCTTTGGGGATGATGTACCGAGGATCACTTGACTCAGTTTAGTTCTGCACCGACCAACGCCTTAGGGAAGTTTTTGCGACTCTTATAATCGCCTATTTGTAATGTTGACTTGAATTGAGATTGAGCACGCGTGACCCTTTCCTCTTTACTCCTTGTGCATAGCGCATGTTTGGCCATCGAGGGCGATGCCAAAGTTTAAGTGTGGGGGAGTGAATTGGGCATTCGGGCAGTAGTTGTTACATGGGATTACTAGAGTTAGCATGTGCAGGTGTTAGTTGTATATTCATAGGAAAGTCATGTCAAAATTTTTAAAATTTTTTCTTAAACTGTGTATTTGTGAGCTGGCTAGCATGTTGAGTATGCTTTTAGAACATCTTTGAAGTGTTTAGGCTTAAATTGCTTGCAATATAACCTAGTTTTTGAGAGGATGAAGGCATTAGTCACCCATTGAATCGTTTCATAAATCATCCACCTGACCTGAATAAGTCCTTTAGGAGAAGCCACTTTGAGCCTGACCATTTTGTTCTTTACCCAATCAATTGAGCTCCATACCCAAATGGTCTGTTTCCTTACCCGTGAATAAGTCTGACGAAGTCTTGATGTTTAGGGAACTAGGGGATTAATTTGCTAAGTTTAGGGAATTTTTGTAGGAGACAATTTTGGTACTGTTCCTATGCTCCAAGTGGGGTAAGAGCAGTCATCTTTTAGGAATTTGATATTTTCGAGGATTGCATTGAAGGCATGGATTCACCTTGATTAATTAAACTTTAATTGCTAATTTTCCTTGGTGAGGTCGAGATTAAAATGGGGTAATGTCTAGTGAAAATCTGAAAATTGAAAAAATAAATTAAATGAACTAGACATCTTACCTTGCGAAAAAGAGAATGGGAAACTTGGTCAAAAAGCGTAAGTGTTCTACACAATAAGATGAGACATGGGAATCTTTCGAAAGAAATAACGTTCTCGTGCCAACATGTCAAGGAAAACTAAATTTTTGTAATTGAACTTGGAGGCTATCTGAAAATCAGCATTAGTCCTTCGCGTACTTCAAGTATACGTCAAAAGCACCAATGCGCCGCGGCGGTTTAGCTAAGTTGTACACCATGTCTACTCTTTGCATAGGTTTAGATGATAGTTCCTAATTTGTGTCCTACTAAATTCCTTAATCCGAAAAATTGCCCTGAAATTCCTGAACGCATTAAGTTTTTGTCAGATTATTCCAAAACTCTCAAAGAAAGGGAATTTTATTCTTTGTCATTCACCATTCACCACCGCCTTCACAAGTCCTTTTGATCAGTAGCTAATTCATTAGTGGTTGCTGCCATTACTTTAAGGATGTTGTGAATAAATTTGTCATTTGAGTTAGCCAGAGTACAAAGATGTAGTTTAGGGAAGAATTTTCTTGGTTTAGCTAATCTGTTCTGTGAATATCCCTTTCACTATGTGTGCATGCTAATTATTTTAATTCCGTGTGGTGATTATCGTAAGTCTCATTGTTTAGTTTGCTTGAGGACAAGCAAAGGCTTAAATGTGGGGGGATTTGATAAGTCCGTATTTAGACATGCATTTGATGCGTGTTGGGATCGACTTGTGATGGTTTTCCTAGCTTTAAGGTGTTACAAGTCTCAATTTTAGCTCAAGTTACGTTTACCGAGCGTTGGTTCGAGTTTTGTGTTGTTTGGAGTCAAAATCTGGAATTTAGAGTCCGACATCGGCGCTTGAGGAGCAAACATGATGATTCGAGAAGCATTCGAGAGTGAATTGAGAGCTTTAGAGGTCACCGGGAGGTTCACAATGAAAATTTGATTAAACAAAAGAGCTCTAGGATTGGCTACGAGATTAAATGAAGACGAATAGAGCTTGAAAACGAAGTTCAGGATGACCTTCTGTCAATCGTTCAAACATATATCTTGGTAGACGCATCCAAAGGACACGATTAAAGTTGCATATGAAAGCCAACTTCAAGTTCTATAAATCATATGAAGACACCATTGAAAGAATTTGAGAGGAAGAAGGTGAAAACGGACGATGAAGTCAGATGATCCCTGTTGCAATTTCATAATGAGAACTTCCACCATATTATTCATATCTCTTGATTGGATGATTCAAATCCAATTCGGCAAGTTGTGGTGGATAGAGGACTTCATTATCTAAACCTTTCATGAAGAAAGTTTTGTCAAATTCGGACTATAGAAGCCGTAAAACGCACTGGCAGCCACGTACGCATGCGTGGGGGACGCACGCGTGCGTCCAACGTTTTTACGCGCAAGTCTGTCGGACGCATGGACGCCACACACGCGTGTGTGGTTGCCGTGTGTACCCCGTTTTAGTCCTAATTCAATCCGAATTGCTCCGTTTTTCCTATTTAAACAGCCTGTAAACCCATGTTTTGAGGGGGGGCTTAGAGACGGTGCCTAGCACGAAATTTAGATAGCTTTTCAGCCCTGTTCATCAATCTTTTGGGATTCTTTGTAAGTTTCATCTTTTTAATTAATGACAATTAAATCTATTCTTCCCAATTCTGTTGATTCTTAAATTATGAGTTGTGAGTAGTTTTAATTAGGGATTTGGGATTGATGAAGGAGTTAATCATGATGTATGGTTAGTTTCTTGATGGTTTAATTGCATGAATGCCGTTTAATTTGTGTTTGAATAATTTAACCGATATCTCTTGTAACCTAGATGGCCACTAGGATTATAATTGCATGTAGAATAAATTAAAAGAGATCTAGTTTATTCTAAGACACATTCACACACACTTAATCGTTCGCTAAGAGATTAGTAGCGATTAAGGGGTCGTAAGCTCGCTCGTCTTAGCAATAATTTAGGATCATGTCGCATGAGATATCAGCGGTAAGAACTTAGTAATGATTAGCTAGGCTCAATTAAATTAATTTCATGCGATTAAGCCTGATCTGCCAGAAATCTGATTACCTCGGAATCAATCTTTGTTCCCTTCGTCATTAATTTGAAAGAACCCATTAGTTTAATTTCTCTATTCGCAATTTAATTTTCCCAATCAATCAATCTCGCACAATTTATTTTATTTTATTTCTTTTTCTTCGCTGAATTTAATTAATTCTTGATTCCCTTTTGTCCGTCCCTGTGGAGACGATACTCGTATTTTCAACCACTTTTCTACAACTTTTTTAAGTGCGAGAAAACTCACATCACACTATCATCTCCCCTGTTGCTTTTCCTTTTCGCTGGCAACATCTTGTAAAAACCATTGCAACACTATCTGCGCACCTCCTTTCCACTAGCTTCACCTCCTCCAGTGCATGCGCGCGCGCACACACACTTGCAAGATCCAGAGAAGTATACAACAATACCCATAAAAAGAAGCAATATACCTCCACTCTAAAACAATGTTGAGGCATCAAACCGCCAAAATTGACAAAATCACAAGCAAACCGAAGCAGCTTCCTCTTTTCCCGACTTCCAGCCATCGTGTCCACTGCCTAGCCACATCCGACTAAACAGATTCCCTTCTCGACCAGCCCTCCTTCGAAGCGAGACAACCCAATTCACGATGAGGCAATCAATTGAACTCACCTAACCCAGACACTGAGATCCGCCGATGACCGATTCCACCACATACCATCTCGCATCCTCCCAATCTACCTGAGATACAAAACGACACAAAGCCGTTTGCCGGACAAAACCCTAGACTACGATAGGAGCAAATCACTTTTTTTCATAAATATGTTAATAGCGGGAGTTGAACCCACAACCTCTCACTTTATAGTAGGACAAGAACCACCGGGCTACAATGTTCAAGTGTTTTCACTAGAAAGACTTACATTATTGTCGATTAACTCAATTATAATGTATGGAATGGATATTGTCATGATAATATGATAATAGATGTGTTGTGAGTGAAATATGGAAAACTGGAGTGATATGAGTGAATCTCCCAATCATTAAAAAAGAAGGATGACACATCATCCCTGAGCAACGGTTAAATGGCGACGACAGCGACGATGTGCTCGAACCCCAGCAACGGCGACTACTGGGAAACGGGTTACATTTAACCGGGAAACCGGTTACTTACCGATCGAAAGGGCTTAATTGAACGTTTTTTAATAGTTCGAGGACTTGATTGAGTGTTTGTAAAGTACGAGAGCCTAATCGACTATTTCGATATAGTACGAGGGCTTATTTGATAGTTTTCCCTTAAAAAATAATTTGAGACACAAAAAACTCAGTATATTAGATGAGGCACCACCAAATAGATAAATACCTTTCGTAGCAGTAAGACAGTAATCAAGTAGCAGCATAAATTTTTGAAATGTCAGACTATAAATGACAACTACGAGATCATCCTCTCCATAAAAACCACTTCAGATCAGTACTCCGAAATGTATTGCATGAATTCCGGGTCGGACTCAACACCCGTCATTGTTTCCGGTGCCAGCACGGCTTCTAAATCGACAGTCCCACCGCCGTCTCGGCCCGGAAAAGCCGAAATCTTACCGTCAAACTTATTGGCCCGCCCGCTTCGGACCGCAACGGGTCTGCCCCACCCGAAGTCGTTATCGTACATCGGGAATCTAGGCGAGCTGCCCATCGTGATCATCGCCCCGTCAAAATTCCCCAACGGGAAACACCGCGGATCTCTCTCCCAATCCTCTACGTACCTCCTCACCGTAGCATTATCGTGCGCCTTCACATTCTTACTCAACTGCCCGGCGCACCACCGGAGATCGTGAGACAACACATCGCCGGCGGTTGCGTACGTCGGGATGCTCTGTATGGCGTTACCGAAATACATCGGATCCAGCTTTGGCTCTAAGCGGTGGCGGCAGTTCACGGCCATGCGAAACGTCGTCGTTTGAGATGGTGGAAGTTTCCTGGCGCGTGTGACTGCACGCCACAGCAACGCGCAGAGCGATTGGAAAGACGAAATCTCATCCATGACCGTTTCCTTTTCCGGTATCAGGTTTAACGACGTCACTTTCGGGTCAATTGATTCCCCTGTTTTATTATTAACGGTTTCTTTCAGTTTCAAAATTGATTCCCGACTGAAGCTGAATATCCGCTCTCTGACCGGAGCGTCAAGATTGAAGGTCACTTTGGGGCCACCGTCGGGGAGTTTCAGCACCGCCGGCGATATGAAAACAGAGTCCCGGCTGAAATCCGGCCGCCGCGTGATCCTCTCGACGCCTCTAGAAACCTCCGCAAACGTGTTGATAAAATGCCACAGAGAGGTGCCGTCTGTAACGGCGTGATTGACGGAGCACCCAATGAAGACTCCGTCGGCGATCTCCGTCACCTGGACGGCGACCAGCGGCTGGAAATGGCCCTGATAGCTAACCGTCCGGTCAAAGGCGAAGAACTCCCTGACCACTTCCGGGACGTCGTGGGAGCGAAGAATGTCACTCACCCAAACGCCGGGGTTGACTGCCTGGACAAAGTCAACCCCTGCGTCGTTGCAGGTGATGTAAACGTATCCGTCAGAATCGGTGATGAGCCTGCCGGCGAGCGGAGGGAAGTGAGTCAAGGTCTGGGCAAGCGTTTTCTTGAGCGAGGAGATGAAATCGGAGATGGGAAATGGGGGGCGAGTGAAAAGGCAGCCCTTTTGAATGTAGTGGGTGGAGAGCATGGGAAGATCGGAAAAGGAAAGCTTCAAGTCCGGCAGGGTAGATTTTTCGGCGGGGAAAATGGTGCATTTGTGGAGTGTGGCGGCAGGCGGCATGGCGGCGGCCATTACTGTTTGATTCAATTCTGGGTAATTTTAGATTTCTTATAGAATAGATTGATAAGTGGATGTTACGTTTTCTCCTATGATTCTATATTTCTATAGTTCTATATATACAAGAAAAGAGAAATGTGAGACAGTGGAAGGGAAAGTATACGGCGTAGAGAAAAATTATACGGAATAAAGCATTAAATTATTAAAAAGGTATAGCAAATAGGTAGTATAATCAGGCTTTTAGGGGTGATGTGTTTGACAGTGAAGCCGCACGAGTAGGTCAGTTGATCGAGTAATGGGAGATTTGGATCAATGGATCAAGGTTCGAATCCCCGCAGCAACCGGATGTAGGTCACATAACCTGAAATAAGGTTGGATCTTTGGTGCGCACGGGTGTATGGCCCTACTGTCATTCTGCTGACTGAGTCATCGTGACTAACCTCCCCACCATCCTGTCGGGTCGGGGTGGGGGTCTGGGGCTCCTGGGTGGGAGATTCCACCTTTATTGGATCAAAGGTTGATTTTTTTAGATGTTATGTATTATTCCAGATTCAAAGATAGATAACTTTTAAATTGTCTAATTTATGTACTTCAATCATTATAAAACTTACTCTCTCCATCCTATGGAATATTTCAAACTTTCCTTTTTAGGTCGTCTCAAATAATTCTTCCAACTTCCACTTTTGAAAAAAATACGGAGTATGTGGATTCACATTCATTTATCTTTTTTCTTACACAACTATAATTCTACATTTCCACTTTATTATCACTTTCTAAATTTAGGAGCCAAGTTTGACTTGGAAGAATTCATTGGGACGGAGGTAGTATATTTTATTCAACTATCTAATCTATTTGTATTTCATTGTTAAATTTTGTATTTTTTCTTGTTTAAGGGGGCTCAATTTGTCTTTTGGAATCGAGACATCCAAATCCATCAGACGGTCGTGACAAAAATTAGGATTATATCAATTTCTTTTTTTGTTGCGAAAATAGTATTCACTTTGGTCTAAAGGGACTAAAAGTTGTCTTTAAATCGTTTTATAGAAATAAATAACATTCCTATAAGGCTATAAATGCGTTAAATATTTATTCTAGTAACGACTTTCTTTCCGAAGACATTAAATTTGTCTTGGAATATCAGTCAAAACAAATCACCCGAGTTGATGGGCGTAGGAGAAAATTTGATAGGAAAGCAAATGAGTTAGAATTTCAAACTATAATTGTTACGTTTTTCTTTATAAAATAAGAGTCGTTATTGTGATGACTAAAAAATACTATCATAGTTTAAAATGTTGTCTTTAATCATATTAAATGTTGTCACGTTTAATATGTAGTACTACAAGATGATAGTAAATATTATTATATCACTCATATTTGTTGGAAAGAAATGTATAACATTTTTATTTTGGAATTGCAAAGCTTGTTAAGTCATACTTTCGTAACTTTCTCAATTTGAAATCGTTTTATCGCATTTTGACATGAGTGGACATTAATTAATATAGAAATTGCTCTAAATAGGAGCAAAAATGTTTTGAAATTCCAAAATAGAAGTATCATGTTTTTTATTCTCAGAATAGGAGTAATCTGCAAGTTTGGGAAAAAATGTCATATTTTAAAGTCTAGTAATGTCAAAATGGCAGAAATTTACTCTTATTCAAGGAATAAAAAACATGATACTCTTATTTTGGAATTTCAAAACTTTTTTACTCCTATTTAGGGAATTCTCTCTAATTAATATCATAATACGGAGTACTTCTCAAGCATAGTAGTGTTCCTCTTTGAAAAAACCGCGAGTACTCGTAATTTAAAATATCACATTATTTTTATTTTTAATTAGAGTTATTGTTATTGAAAAATGAGTTCGTGTATCAAATATTACTAGAATAAAGTTTCTTGACAAAATGACTAGAACTAGTGAATTACTATAACTATAAATATACTCCGTAATGCATATGCCTATTGATTTGTTAAAAGTTGCCATTAACGCGTATTGATTTGTTGTTCGGTCATGTTCCAATTATGCTTCTCCTTGTTTCCCTAATCAAACGATTTTTTTTTTTAAAATTGGGTGTATCAAACGATCATCATCTTAATTGCCAAATTATTTGGCATTGAATAGATATTAAACCAAGCATTTAATGCTAAACCAAGCATTGAATATATCATAGGCTCTCATTTTACTTGTTTTACTTTCCTTTTTAGATTGTCTCAAAATAAGTGTTACTTTTTCGTTTTTAGAAAGAAATATGTGGTTCACAATATTTCACTTTATTATACTCAAATCTCAACAACGACTTTTACCTTTTCAATCACTTTATTGAAAATTGTGTCAAAACCAAATGAAACACATAAAATGGGACGGTGTAGTATTATACTTCGTATATGTGCGTACAATTTTGGAGTAAAAGTTAACTCATACTCCAATACTTTCATACCTACATCCAAAGGTTAACGACTAACTTGAATTGGTCCTATCATTATTTGTGAAATAATGGAACAGGATGTTTTCTAAGGAGCTCTGACAGATATATTTATAATAAAGAGAGTTTAATGTAAAATACAATATTGATCCTATAATAATTCTATTACACCCCTTCAAGCTGTGTGGGAAAAATAGCGCGCAAGTTGTCCCTTAAAAAATGAAAACGCTAAGTAGGTAGACTCTTGGTAAAAATATCTGTCAACTGTAGATGAGTAGGAACATGTTGTACAACCAGATCTCCACTGGCAACACGTTCCCTAACAAAATGATAGTCAATCTGAATGTGTTTACTGCAAGCATGCTGAATAGGATTTGCAGTCAAATAGGAAGCCGAAATATTATCACACAGCAGATGCACAGGTTCGGTGATGGGATAGCCGAGCTCAAAGAGAACAGATCTGATGTGTAGTCTATCCTGAACTATGTAGGCAATAGCACGATACTCGGCCTCTGTGGATGATTTGGATATTGTGGGCTGCTTTTTGGACTTTCAGGAAACTAAATTAGGACCCAAAAAGACAGCAAAACCTGTAGTGGACCGTGAGCTATCAGGACATCCAGCCCAATCTACATCTGAGTAGGCAACAACACATGTGGATCGATCAGAATGCAGGAGCCATAACCCAAGATCACGTGTTCCCTGCAAGTACCTGAAAATTCTTTTGACTGCAAGTAGATGAGTAGTACGAGGGGCATGCATGAACTAAGAAACTAAGTGTACTGCATGAGTAATATCTGGCCGTGTCAAAGTTAAATATTGTAACGTATCGACCATGCTGTGATACTCGGTATATAGAGTCCATAAGTAACTCGCCATCAGAAAGAGATAAAGTAGTGCGAGACGCTAACAGTGTGCGAACAGGTTTAACTGTATGACGATGAAAACGAGCCAGAAGATCAGAAACATATTTATTTTGAGAAAGAAACAAACCTTTAGACGAACGAGTCGCCTCAAGACCCAAGAAATAATGTAAGTTACCCAGATCCTTCATGGCAAAGTGATTAGAAATAATAGAGATAAACTGGGTAACGATAGACGCATAATTGCCAGTAATAATAATATCATCTACATATAGTAATAAGTAAATGATAGAATTATTATGGCGATAGATAAATAACGAATTATCAGATTTATTACAGGAAAATTTATGATGCAGTAGAAAGCTACCAAACCTATGAAACCATGCTCGTGGGCTTGCTTAAGACCATAAATGGCCTTGCGCAAACGACACATATGATTAGGAAATTGAGGATGAATAAACCCACGGGACTGACGCATGTAGACTTCCTCTGTCAGATGACTATGTAAAAAGGCATTTTTAACATCAAGCTGACGAATAACCCAACCAAAAGATACAGCTAAAGTGAGTACAATACGAACTGTGGTGGGTTTAATAACAGGACTAAAAGTTTCAGAAAAATCAATATCAGCCTGTTGATTAAATCTCTGAGCAACTAACCTAGCTTTATGACGTTCCACGGACCCATCAGAATGATATTTCGTTTTATAAATCCACTTACAGCCAACAATATTCTTAGTATTGTCAGAGGGCCCCAGATCCCAAGTATTATTATTAATGAGTGCATTAAATTTATCAGCCATCGCTTCCCGCCATTTTAAATGTTTATTAGTCTCAGTAAAACAAATGGGATCCGCAGGAATGACAACTGTACTAAGATTAAAAATAGTTTTAGGTTTGAAAATTCTCGCTTTGACACGGGTTTGCATGGGATGCTGAATAAGGACCGTAGGGGACGCAATGGAAGGGGAGGAAGGAGGGCAGGTCGTGGTGTGGGAAGACTCGGTCTGGAAATAGGAGTCGGGAGTGGTGATCCTAGTGGGATTCGGAACCAGAAGGAGTTGGACTCGATCTTAACGGCATTGGGGTGGAGCATACGGACTGGGAAGGGGAAGAGGACGACAACGGGTTGGATAGGGACGGAGTGCTGGCTGGAGACTGCAAGAAGGATGGTGAAGAGCTGGTGAATTTTTGTCCTGCGACTGAAGGCTGGGATACGAGTGGAGATGGAGCAGATGATGTGAGTGAGGTGTCGGTAAGAGCCATAGGGGACGGTCGGTCAGGAGAAGGAGAGAGAATAGGCCGCCTAATGGTTTGAAAGGGATATGTATCCTCGTGAAACCTCACATGACGGCTGATATACACACGGTCTGTAGTAGGATCCAAACAACGATAGCCCTTGTACCCCGGTGCATAGCCAAGAAAAACACATTGAACAGACCGAGGTGATAGTTTATTAGCTGATGTGGCCGAAAAATTGGGATAGCAGGCTGACCCAAATACACGCATAAAAGAGTAGTCAGGAACTCGGTTAAAAGTTTTTGGTATGGAGAAAGTCCCTTTAATGTAGGAGAGGGTAGTCTGTTAACGATATATGCAGCTTCAAAAATTGCATCAACCCAATATTGACTCGGAACGGATGCTTCAAGAAGCATAGTTCGAGTTATTTGCCACTCTTTCTCGTGATGTTCTCATATATATGCAGCTGCAAAAGTTGCATCAACCCATTCAGGTACCATCTGCTTATTCCATAGATATGCTCAACTGTCAAATTCTCAATCTCGAATTTTCTACTTGGTTACGTAATGATCAAACAATTCGCTCATGGTTATTTGCCACTCTTTCTCGTGATGTTCTCATTGATGTTCAGGATTTAAAACATTCTTGTGAAATTTGGGAACGGTTAGAGTCTAGATTTATGTCAGCCAGTTTGGCCATATCTATGGAATTAAAGCGCTTATTTTCTCAAATTAAAAAGAAACTTGATCAATCTATGGATATTTATTTATGGGAGATTAAAATTTTGGTTGATGATCTTGCTACAATTAATTGCTCTGCCCCTCCTCGTGAAGTGCTCAAAACTACTATTATGGGCTTGGGACCTGAGTATGAGTCCTTGTTCACCACTGTCTCCCTTTTAACGAGCCGAGTCCGAACAATCAAAACTCGAGTTTGGCTCGATGATGGAATTAGTGGTGATGTGGTGTTCGGGTTCAAGCTCGAAGCTCAGCGAGCTTTACAAATGAGGCTCGTGTTCGGCTCGATAGGCGTTCGATGTTCGAACCGAGCGCTCGCTAAGCTCGATAAATATGCTCGAAT